AAATTGCAGCCAGTGTTCCACCTATACTGAGCGTGAGTCCACCTGCAATCACAGAGACAGACTCAGTCACACTGAGCTGTCAGACTCCATCATCTTTTTCTGTGCCTCAGTGTGATTTCTACATTGCAAGCCAGAAACTGTCCAAAGGTTCCTCCTGTGTGCAGACACTGACAGGGACTGAGCTCCTGAAGACTGCACATAAGAGTTTACCTGCTGAGGTTGAAGTGAGATGTTCTTACACTGTACAAACTTATACTTTTAAATTTACATCTCCTGACAGTGAGCCATCCACCATCAACATAAACAGTGAGTGAAGAAATGACAATTAAATTTGCATTATAGGTTAAACATTTATAGACGTAAATACTTTACATTTACATGCTTACTTTGGTATTGTAAATCTATTATCAAAAATATTTTATGTACATCAAATTTTCTTATTAAAATTTACATATATTTTATTTAACAGACCTTCGTCCACCTAAACTGACAGTGAGCCCGCTGATGATCACAGAGACAGACTCAGTCACACTGAACTGTCAGAATCCTCTTCCTGTCTCTCAGTGTTATTTCATTATTTCAGGAGATAAAACTGCCAAAACAGCTCCTTGTCTGCAAACTCTGACAGGGTCTGAATTTCTGTCATGGACACGTCAACGTTCACCTGTTACAGTTGAACTGACCTGTTACTATCTTTATATATATAAATCTCCATTGAGTAACATGTCACCAATCACCGTACAGAGTGAGTAAACACTTTAACAATGGGCTAATGTTAGAATGTTTAACTAAATAATTACTTCAATATACAATGCTGCAAATGAGAGATAAGTGAGGTGTGAGAACATTTTTCACCACCAATATAACCTAAACATTTTCTGTCATTGATTGTTTTTGTATATTTGCTTATTCAGTTCAACAAATGTTTACATTTTTTTCAGTTCCTTGGCCTGAAATTACTGTGAATCCACCTCTGATCACAGAGACGGACTCAGTCACACTGAGCTGTCAGACTCCATCATCTGTTTCTGTGCCTCAGTGTGATTTCTACATTGCAAGCCAGAAACTGTCCAAAGGTTCCTC